ATTATCATAGACTATCCTCTATGGCAGTGGTTCTCAACTCTTGGGTCGGGACCCAAAAGTGGGCCGGGGGGCCATTTTCAGTGGGTCGCGGACATGTGAGTGGGGAAACAAAGTGTCAAAAAGTCTGTCAAGCCCTTTGAAAACTTGTGTTTTTGTTCCGTCACATGTTTCGTACCATCTGAGGTCCAAACTGCACTGTTTTTCATTCAATAAATGTGACTGGTTGAAAGAAAATCAGAAATGTGGGTCACGATTTTCATGAAGGAGTTGGTGGTGGGTCTTTAGGCTAGACCAGTTGAGAACCAGTGCTCTATGGCACAGTGAGTTATCTATTGGCAAATATTTTGAGGTTTGAACCTTTGATGTATAAGAAAATATTTAATGCATATAACTGTTTGTTCTTGCTTGTTCTTTCTAACAGTACCTGCATATTTTGTAAGAAAGTTAAAGTGACATTCACATTTCAAAAGGTTAAAGAAGATATCACTGCAAAAGTAGAATTGGGATCAGAGAGAGAGAGAGGGAGAGAGAAAGAGAAAGAGAAAGAGAGAAAAATAGAGACAGAGAGAAAGAGACAGAGAGAGAGAGAGAGAGAGAGAGAGAGAGAGAGGTGTACCGAGAACGCCAGAGGCATGCACTGTCTCCTCCTGGCCAGCTTCTTCCTGTCTCTCTCCTGTTTCTCTCTGTGAGCCAGCTGCTGGTAATACTCGATCAGCTTGTTGATCTGTAACAAAAATGTCATGCAGAGAACGTTCATCAAACATGAGTGATAAAGAATTGGGCGAGGGTAACCTAAGATCCCACATAAATACTTTTTAAGAGTAAATGTAACTTATTGTACAATACACAGTGATTTTAAGTCTGAGTAACAAAACTCCCTATGTAAGGGTATCACAGGTAAAAACATTAAGGCCTTCTCTCACAAGAACATTTGTTTTCACTTTTCAGACAGAGTAAAGTAAATTGAAGTACAATTATTTGGTACAGTAACGAAAGGTTTAAATACAAGGTGCACAAAATACACATAATCTGCTTAGATCTGAGGTTTTTTTTTTTAAATGTTAAGGGTGTATTTATGATTCTATTTGGAGTAAATGTGTGTCCTTAAACTAGAAGCAAACATTATGTGTGCTCTGGCCGTGGGGCTGGCTAAGTGTGGGTGCGACTTACTCAGAGACACTTCTATTCAAAATAAAGTCATGTGTGATGAGGAAACATGTGAGCAACTCGAGAACATATCAATGACCACAGGGGGAAACTTACCCGCTGAGTATGAGGGTTCTCTGGCTCCTGCCATCCACCGCTTGCTGCAGTGAGCAAAATTAACAAAAACATGAGACTTAGACAGCCAAAGGGAACAATCACAGAGTAGATAAAAGCTTTGATAGATAGCTAAATTAGAGACAAACAATACACCTACAGCTGGACACATTGCACATTTCAGTACCGTTAATGCTTCTTACTATTATTTGAATTGAAAACTTGTTGAGGTATGGCGACTAACATGTGCATCTTTGCTGTATGAACACCCACCAACTGATTTGTCAGCCATTCCTACGTCCCTCGAAGTCCAGCGACAGAAGCCGCAGGCCAAATAATAGGCCTTCTTCATGGCCGTCTTGGTAGGATCATCAGGCAGAGGAGCTGGGATGTTTGTGGCTCGGGTAGACAGAGTGTGCATGCAACACGGGCAGTCGAAACAATTGGCACATCTATCGTGAAGCACAGAAAAACCCCAGAAATCAATTTAAAAAGGAGATAAATCTGATAACATGATTGATCTGATGAAGGTAAAGACACCACACAGGAAGGTTTCTCCATGCATTTTCCTTTTCTCTCTCTCACCTGTTCTTTTTCAGCTTAGCCTCTGCAGAAGGCATGTTCTCCAGACAACTGGGGCAATAGTGTGAATCCACCTGATCACCAGACACAGGTACACAGGTACACAGGGAGGTATTGAACATTTATTTATTCGTTATTTAACATCAGCTTCCTACTTTATTATTCACAAGTAGCCTGCAGATAGTACAAATCTGCGCAGATGACGCGGATGGGATTTTGAATTAGAGGGGGCAACTTGATAGGTTTGTTTGTTATAAACAGTCAGAAATCACAAGAAGGGCTCTGACTATAAACCAGAAATTACATTTGATTAAATATCTACATCACCAGGGTGTGGTGTCCATAACTGTGAGCCACGTTCACAACCAGGGCTTTTACAGTGTACACGTTCATTCGGGTGGACTTACGAAGTAACACGTAGTTTCTAATTGTGTGATTTGACTGAAATAATGTTTTTTAAGAGCTTAATCAGTACGTTAAACTCAAAGAATAGCAACGCTACCTAGCTTGTTCGCGAACCATTTTAGCTCCGTTAGCCATAATACTAAGTCCAGCTCCAGCGGAAGTAAACGTCGCTTTCAGCCAATCAGATGGCGAGACAGCTGGAAAAACATTTGATTGACAAGCGGCCTGGCCATACAACGCAACGAGGTGGTTTCACTACTCCCGCCTACCTGTCAAAGCTGCGCGCAAGACCGGCTAACAACAAAGTAGACGCTGGCTAAATTAAGCTAACATCGAGCATTTTAAGGAGAAGAAATCTACGTACCTCGTGAGACACACATTCTAGAGACCGCAGCTCACTACAGTAGCGACAGAAATAAAGTTGAGACAAAGGGGCTCTGATCCTTTTCTCCCCGCGGACCAGATAGACGACCCTGTCCGGCTGCAGAAGAGACGCCATCCCGGACCACCTCAGTCCACTTCAGTCCTCACTGAGCTCTGCTTAGTAATCGTCCTCATCTGGTTGTCTGAGGACACACAGAGGCTCAATGTCGACCTCGTGTGGTTAGAAGTGAAACTGCAACCTCACTCCCCATGGTTTATTTGAAGTCTGTGGTTGGATACAGATTCAGAAGTCTAGGTCTACATGCACCAGTTAAACCAGGATCAAGTAGATGATCAATTTGTCTCTCTAATCAAACACACAAAGAACAAGCCGATTTAGAAAGGACCCTTCAAAGTAGGGCAATAGAAGTCTTTTTTTTTTTTTTTAAATTGAGGCTATTGGGAAATAGTATCAGTAGGCCTACCACATTATAATTCATTTATTTGTTTCAATAGGATCACTCTTAAGTATTTTGCATGTTTTTTTCAAGATGCATACTGTAGGCCTACTGGTATTCAATCAGGAGAGACTTAATTGAGAATTAACAATTATTTATTTAACAATAAATGTGCAACAATTTAGATTTGAATGTGCAACGTCTTTGGGGGATTAGACTCCAGCGTGACGACTTCATGTACTTGGAAGGGTAGTGAGGCCGACAGCAGGATAGGATACCCGCCCCCCCCTATGGAGTCTAGACCCTGATGGTGGTGAAGAGGAATGGAGGCTGTGATGAGGAGTGGGTTTCAGAGCCTGAATCTGGACTCTGCTGAGCTGGAATGGAGGTAACTGGGGCGGTGGTGGGTTGCAGCGGTGGCCCTGAAATGACAGAATGACTGTGGAAGAGAGAGAACTGTTTTAACATTTTGCCTCAGCAGGGTGATTGGTTGAGAGAGGTTTTGCCCGAATCTGGTTGGTTAATTATTTAAAAGAATAAACGCCCATAATCAGCTGATCACCAGAGCAGGTAAGTGAAAGGATGAATGAATGTGTGAAAGAATATAGCCAGTCTTCCTGTCTGAACTTACGCTGAGCTCCATTTAGCATACAACTATGTCTTCCAATATGAACCAAAGACTACAATTCGAGAGCTGCTTACTCCTTGGCCTTGTCCATAATCCATCCATGCAGAGACCAGACTTATTTCAGCTGAAAACTCTTCAATGAACCAACATTTGAGTTTGTCACAGCAGAGGCCCATAGATCTGGTGTTGGGCTTTAGATCAAAACAAATGTGTGTCTATTTTTATTTTGTATAGACTATATTATTATATAATATAAAATAGGCTATATTTGATATTTAATACTATATATTTTACTTTTTCAAACACTTTTAGAGAAGCATTCTCTAATCCAGAGGTGAACTAAAGTGAGAATGGGAAATTGAAGCAAATTTGAAACTTGGCATGTGCTTTGTCAATGGACAATAAAAAATAAATTAAACATAAAAAAATAGGACAACACTGATTGTTGCTTATGAAGCCTTGTTCATTCTTCTTCCCCCTTGACTTAATCTTATTATTTACTCATGCTGCCTTTGGTTAAAAAGCCTGTGTTTATACAGTTCTGAGCTGAACATTGTGTAAAACATATAGTCAAGGAGGTGCTCTAACAGGACTGGAAAGAGGCCTGTATAAGCCACCAACAAGACATGTGGCCAAGTGCCAGCTCACCATGGCAACAGCTGATCTGGAAGAGGAGAAATGATCCATGAATAAAAATAAAACAAACAGCATTTTATCCTGTTTTAGAGAAAGTGACAGTCAGTCATCAGCCTGCATTCATCAGGCTCAACATGCCACTCTATTCCACTCTAAGTGTTTTTTTTTGTTTTTTTTTTAAATATCCTTTTCCCCTTAGTCTCATGAATCCTTTTAATGAGTGTTGCCCGTAGGTTAAAGCACCAGACATGCTCAGAGTGACAGACACAGGCTGAGGCTCAGTCAGATGTGCTTTCTTCATTGTTGGCTAATCGTGTTCATTTGGGAGAGAATAGCCCGTCTCATTCATTCATATTTGAATAATCATAACTGAACTTAAATAAAAGGTCAACTGTCCCTAAAAGAGTTGTACTGAAGATAAACCAAACACTGTTTGTGTTAGGCTACCTGAGTAGTAACGGATTTAGATGCAGTAAACTATTCATTCATTCTTTTGAACTAAATGTACATAGAAATACAGAAGCAATCGGGCCTAGCAGTTTATAATAAGAAATGTTAAAAACTAGGCTGTTTATTCGTTTGGAGACCTATTTGGCCCTGTGCGCACTTACGTCAGCAGAGGGCGTCATCTCCTCCAGCTGTGCACCCTCCCCCCACCCCCCCCTGCCAGAGGACTTAAGTTCGTCCTGAGGGAGAAGCGGACAGAGAGCGAACATCAGGATGAAGTGGTCCTTTCTACAGCTGCTGCTGCTCGCCCTGCTGAGACCCTGCACCGCCGGAGGCTCGTTCACACAGGTAGGCCACCTGTTCAGTGTTCTAACACAGAAGGCATATTCAAAGTAGGACTCCGCAGGTGGACAGATAAGAAGAACACAATTGACAAACTGAACCGAGACTGTAGGCTACCTCATGACGTCGCTTTATTTTAAGATGCACCGTTCAATCAGCAGAAAGTGATGTTAGGTCTCAGTAATTTGAACCTGTATTCAGGTTTACAGCTAATGTTGCCATTGCCGACTTCATTGTTTAAAACAGGTGGTAGAGCAGGACATAGATTAAAGCTCATGAAATGCGTGAAAACACCTTAATGTTCAGTGTCACCTTCTTCTTTCCGTCACAGTTTGTTTTTGGCATGTTTTCAGGATTTTCCATTGTCAGACTTTGTTAGTTTGTGCCATAGACTGCTCTATGTTTTGTGTACTGAAAGCTTTAGTTCTGCTTATTCTTCTTCCTTGTACTTAACATAAATGACAATGACCATATAGGGTTAGTAAATTTGACCAGTTGAAACTATCCCACCTTTCGAATTTGAGGAATGTTTTATTAAGTTGTGCAAACACCTGTTAGTCTTAACTCTATGACCCTTACAATCTAGGTCATGCTTACACAAATGAGTTATAATTCCTGTTATTTGCATTGTAAATATGACACACTGAGACAGGAGAAACAATGTTTGGTTCATCTTCGGGGGCCATTACCATTCTCCGAACATTCAGATGATTTGTTTTCACAAAGGTTCTGCTCAGCAAACATATGATCTGAATCTACATATTTACACATTAAATACATCACACAGTCAATGTAGGGCTGCAAGAAATGGTTTGACTATTGAAGCTGCATTGTTTTTTTAAGTTGTTCTCGTAAAACGTCAACAAAATGTGCATCATGCCCGTAACAAATCAATGTCTCATTCGTGTCTGTTAGATGAAAACATAGTTTCAAAATCAAATCTTATTCAATTAAACTTTATACCACAAGACAAAGAAAAGCAAAACATCTTGTGTTACTAATATTTAGAGTTCATGATCTAAACATATGAATAATGTTTGTAATTTCCCCCCCCAAAAAAGAGGATAATTGAATTATGCATCAACAGTTTGTGTTATTCTCTGATTAATTATTCACATACTATTTCATAAGCAACCAATAAGTGTGTGGCTAATGTTTAAGCTGCTCTGGGTTTGTTGTACATCAAAATGTTCCAAAACACAGTATCCTTAAACAAACATTTGTATGAATGCAGCGGTCCGATCCAGGTCAAGGCCTTTTATTGGCTAGAAAACAGGTGTTAACAAAACAAAAAACAGAAAGCCAATAGTGGAGGCATCATTTTTGGCAGGATAAACAGATGTGAATGACATTTTCTTTCTTTTTTTTGGCAAAGTTAAGAATTTCTTATCAGTAAAAATACCAGAGTAAAGAAATATAACCTGTTCGGCCTTGTGTTTAAACCCCCAGCAGTGTGACTCATCCACAGATGGCACCATTTACAAACACCAGGCGAAGACTCTGAACGGGAGTCACACTGTGAACTTCAGTGACTACGCTGGCAGGGTTGTCCTCTTCATCAACGTGGCCACGTACTGAGGATACACCTTTCAGTATGTGGGTAAGAAACAGCACCGCGGGCTGCATTGCTTTGTGTTGCTGGAAACAAGCTTCTTCACATGAAAACATTTCCTTTTACCTCTCTATCTGCAGAACTGAATGCACTACAGGAGGAGATGAAAACTTTAGGGCTAACAATTCTCGGCTTTCCCTGCGACCAGTTTGGGGGACAGGAGCCAGGGCTAAAACATGAGATTCTATCAGGTTTAAAGTGAGAAATGTTTCCCTTTCTATAAAAATGAATATACTTTCTCACTCACTCACAATATTCAGCCAATTTAGGTCAGAGCTGCATTTTATTAAATAAAAAACATCTTGCTACTGAAATTGCTTTACACTGGAAAACAAGTTTGGATTTGTTTTTTAGTCTGAAAAAGGAAGGAAACATGAGAAGTTACAAGCTTCTAACAAGACACTATATATATTGTAAAGTAATGTAACATGGCCTTAAAGCAGGATGTAGACAGGAATTTGCAATAAAGGTAAATCCTCTTATCAATCAGCAAGGCTTCATTTAACCAGGGGGATACATGCTTTGGAAAAAAAAGATCAGTTTACTGCTACTGGCCCCTCTGACATCAATAGATTTAGTGTCCCAGGTTCTCTATCACATCCTACAACCATATTGACGTTGTTTCACAACACTGTGGTGTTTTGCTCGGCCTAAATTGGGTCCCGGGCAGCTGCCAGGAACGTCCACTGATAAGCTGCCCTCTCTCTGGATTCCAGGCATGTTAGACCAGGCAATGGATTTGTTCCAAACTTCCTGCTGTTTGAGAAAGGTGATGTGAACGGAAACGACGAACAAGAAGTTTTCACTTTCCTTAAGGTATGTTATAATTGACCTGGAAAGTGTTTTTAGGAATGAGAAAACTTTCAATTGTACAGCTTTTATAGAGGTAGCCTGTTTTCTTGCTTTTCTCCATCCACTCTTCAGAAAACGATGTGAATTACACTACTATGACCTGTTAAGTCACACTGAAAATCCAAGTGTGGAGTATTTCAGAAATATAAAAAAGCTATGAATATGTGTTCTTATTAATTTACCTTACATACTGTTCACTGTTCTGTGATTCAGAGTTTATCTTGCACACACTTGTCGCTCTTTATAATCTTTTGCTTCCTGTCACGCAGAGCTCCTGCCCCCCTGTTGGAGACTACTTCGCCCCAAAAGTTAAACTGCTCTGGGAACCTGTGAAAATCAGCGACATCAAGTGGAACTTTGAAAAGTTTCTGGTGGGGCCAGACGGGAAGCCGTTGAAGAGGTGGCACCCAAGTGTCACCATTTCAGAGGTCCGAGCTGAGATCCGCAAACTCCTGATCATACTGTACACACAGGATGCTCTTGATTTGACGGATTTATAATCCAGTATTGTGCCTTAAATGTAACTTAATGTCATGACATCTACATGATCAGTAGGGTTAAGGTAGAATGTAAAAGAGTAATGTTAACATTTTCTGACACATGAAGATGGCATGTTAAATGAAGAGGAGGCTTGAAAGCAGGAAGTCTGTGGAGCCTCCTTGGAATGTGTGGTTCAGGCCAGCTCTTTAGTGCATTCAGGCTGCCCTGCAATCTCACCACACCATGTCATCTTCTCATCCCAGCACCTGTTAGCTATTACAGTTTACATTTGAAATACTTCCAATAAACGTGGACAACACACTGCGTGGATGTTTTGTTTACCAGAACCGACTCTTAACACTGTGGGCACCACTTCATGAAAACGCTTTAGAGAAATGTGTGCTCTATTCTTTTTTTCCTGCAATAAAAATGGGACAAGATATGAGCATGAATAAGCAGGGTAACATAATAGCAGACATTTAGAATAGATTTATTAAGCCAGTCAAATACAAAAAGTCTCACATGTGCTTCTGCCTACAGCAAAAGAAAAAAGGGCTAAAACCAAGAAAATACAACTGCCAGTAATTACAGCGAACCTTTCAAAGTGCAATTCCGCTAATTTCTCATTTTGCTTTCACTCATCAGGATTTGGTTCCCTGTAACTTAAAAACTTATTTTGATAAAATTGAGCTGTTTTTTTAACATCTTGGAGCCCTTCATTTGACTACCTGATAAATACTATGTTATTGGGTATGAATTTTAAACAGCGGCTTGATCTGAGATTGGATCGGCCTTTTTGAAATGGTAACATTACTGGAGGTGTGACTGTTTTCAAGGCTCTTGACTCAGTGATACAACAGGTCAAAGGTCAGTCAACACGGCATGGATTGCTGGTTGTTGAAGTGGACAGAGAGCAAAGCCAGACATGCTGTCTGAATTTCCCTCTGAGGAGCAGCTGTTCTGCTGTAACGCTGAATCTAGGGCCTCTAAATTTCGGATGAGAATCTTCCTTTTCCTGTTGTTTTCGCAGAACTTCAGCGCTGGAGTTAAAGGTTGCACTGATTAAAACTCATTAGGTTTTAAATGAAAGAAGAGGAAGACCGTCATCTCTGCTGGGGTAAATTCTTGTAATGCATGTCGGGGCTGAACTGTGAGCGGAGTACAGGATGCAGGAAGATGAGTATGAATTTCAGAATGAGTGGTCAAATCATCAAATCAAGTGTGGTCAAGAAGAAGTGTTGTGTTTAATGAGATTAGGTCCATCATCATGGGGAAAAAAAGGTGTGTATGTTGTGTGCATTGTGTATTGTGTCTGATACAAACATACAATGTCAATAGCTACAATATATTGGGATTACACTAACAACATAGAAAGAACAGCATTACTTAAGACAATGATTTACACGTAGTCAATAGTTATAAATAAATAATCAATAATCACAATCATGTTTTTGGTATGATACCATCAAAATTCATTTCCCAAAATTTTTGTATTTCAACAACCACTTTTTGAACAGTTACACGTAATGGGACAGTCCTATAACATCGATGGTACTGAAGCAGTCTTCATAAATCAATTAACATTCACATTGCAAATCCTATGATTCAATGTACCAATATAATCACTCTTTGTTGGAATGACTATACGTTGCCTTAAGTCTTATTGGGGAATGGCTTCCTGTAACCCTACAAGTGACAAACTAAGTGTCAAGTTGTTACGTCATTGCAGAGAGACAATCACAAAGGTTTATTTTTCTGGGAAAAAGAAGAACAATGTTGATTTATCCCAACCTATAAATGACTTCAGTTCCTGATAAAAAAAAACAAACAAAAACAAAATAATATTTCATGTATATATATTCAGAATAGCGAAGTGTTTCACAAATAGCCTTATAAAACGCAAGTATAAACAACATTACAATAGGATATCTACAGTTCAGTAGGAAAATTATAGATCAAATCACACCTTGTCAACTCAAAAACAAACTGATTTTCATGCTACTACCCAGACATTTGGAGTTGGGTACAGTGATGCTTTAGTGCTTTCCAGGATCAATGTTCTGTCGCTCCCTTTTTCCGAACCCCGCTGCTGCTGCGGCTGCTGCTGAAGCTGCTGCTGCTGCGGCTGCTGCTGCTGCTGCGGACTGATCTACAGACACACACGAGACAAGACTGTCACCTTCACACCCACCATACGAGCTGCTTCATACATTCTCTTTGACATGAATACAACAAACTGAGAAAAAAAAAAAAAAAAAAAAACCTGTGCTGCAATCTCACAATCAGATCAAAGACTTGTATGCTCGCAATATTTGATATTTTCCTTCTATACAAATATCATCAAAACACCATGACAAAGATTGAATTCATCTTATAGCTTATTTATCTGAACTCTTAAAAACCTTCATATACATGAATATGGTTTATAAAAGTTAAAGTCCAACATACACCATCCTAGTTTAAAAGAGACTCACTAGCAGTATGAATGAATTGCTGAAAGTAGTTCTGAACAAAACAGTATTCACTCATACTTGAGTAATGTGACCTAATATATACAGGACCGTTCTGTATTAGAAAACCATTTTACCTTTTAACATTAAGCTGTAATGCAGACCATTACTAATTACATGTTTGGCCTTTTGCTGATTTAAAAAATGTAGTAAAGATGCAGAGTAAGACTTTATCTTTCATTCAGTAAAGCAGTATACTAAAATCTGATCAAAGACTCAAAAGGATAAACATTTTACATGGCTTGCTGTACCATACCTGCATTTTCTGGTGGTGGTCTGGAACTCTCTCCTACTGCTCTGGCCCCTCTGGGCTGAGGGAATGATGACTGCCAAGGAAAACCCTGACCAAAGAGAAAGCACTACCTTATATCATTTCACTTAAGGGATAGTTTGGTATTTTTGTGGGGTTGTGTTAAGTACTTGACAATAGTAAGTGTCACAGGAGATGCCGGTCAGCTCTGCTCTAAATAGAGAAACTAGTTGGGAGTGCCAGCACAGAGACTAGGCTATACACCGCTGCATACATGTAGATGTGTATGCTGTATTTAGAATGTCAGTACTCTACTTTACCGTCGGCAAGCCAATTTATTTAAGCACTACTTTAGTGCACCACATTAGTGTTCTTCCGCCTGCAGCGGCACAAACGTCTCCATCTACTGTGATGTATAGCCTCACCGTGCTGGCACTCCAACCTGCTTCTCTATTTACTGTAGGTGCTGAGCACAAGTACTTAATAAACCCCACTTCAAAAATACTGAACTATCCCTTTAATATATAGTTTTTATAAGCCATCAGCCCTCAAGTCTTTGCCGTAAGCACACTGAGTATTATTGCATGGCTAGGCTGAGCTACAAGTTAGACCTAATTACAGGAAAGAGAAAAGAGCCTTTCGTCAGTGAAGTAGAGTCACTCCAGAGACAGACACAGAGGGGCCTTAGAGGACCCTTACCGGGGTAACAGGCTGGAAGTCTCGTACAGGGGGCGGTGCTGCGGTGGCTGCGGCTGTGGCGCCTGCTGCATTTGGCATCCGGGGAGGGAAGTGTACGGGCCAGCCCTCAAGGCCCTGCGGTCCCACCTGCACAAAGGGACCACAGTAGGGAGGGCTCAGCGGGCCGTTCACTGAGCTTGATGTGGGGTCTGAGGTACGTCTTTCCTGCTGCTGCCCCTACGAGGGATCACAAGTACACACGTGATCCCCAATCAGTGCACGGCTGCTATTCTCAGCGAGCGCAGTGGCCCCGTCGTGGCATGGGCCACTGCTGACCTTCAACCCTGCACACTGCAGCTGCCTCCCACTGAGGAGAGTAAATGTTCCACCTGTTGATCCCGAACGCACTGACAAACAAACTGGCTGGAGTGAGGCTCTTGTCCTGCAGTATTGATTCGCCCAGTGTGAACTGATTAACTGTAAACATTTAAGTGACTGTTATGTCACAAGGGGGCGCTATTCTGCATGGTTTACACCTCTTATCCTTCTGCATTGTGAGTTAAAAGGCTTAAAGAGGAACTTTTACAGAAGGCCTTGCTCCTATGTTAACAATCGTGGGCAAAAAGGCTGGACATCTAACCTCTACAGGCTGACGGCAACATTTATTTTCATATTTAAATTGACTGCAACACTATCAGGCTCGGATCTGAGCTGCATCAGTACCTGTTTGTGATGCTGCATCTGCAGTCGCTCCAGTTTACACCTTTCTGTTCGTTCTCTCTGACACTCATTCTGTGCCTGATGAAGCTGAAACACAAGCGCACAAACATTTAATGTAAGAAACAAACAAACAAGTGTGTCTTAAATTTAATTTAAAAGACAATCACTTGAGTGTGCATACAGGAGAACATCATTTTAGAATACAATTTACCTGATTTGTCAAATTAGTTATCTGGCCCTGGAGTCTCTCAACTTGCCGTCTCAAGTCCTCCTTTTCCTCGTTCATTCGCTCCCTGTCACTCCTCTCTTTTCTGAAGTCTTCTTCAAAGATCTTCACCTGCAGCAAAAACCAATCATCACAAACAGTTTAGATTGCATGTACAAATGGAGGTATACATGTAAAATGGCCGAAACACAGCCTGAACACGTGCTCAGGTGCTCAAGGTAGCAGGAACAAACCTGGAAAATTAAATCAAAAGTCAGTGGCAAACTGAAAATAACTTCACTATATAAATATAGTAAAGTTATATTCAGTTTGCCACAGACTTTTGATTTCATGTGCTGGACGTCTGACCTGTTCCTTTAGTACAGCGATTTGAGTGAGCAGCTCCTGTTTCTTCAGGTTATTGGCTGCATCGGCAAAGTTAGCCTGGCCAGGTGGTTGTTGGGAGGATGACGGGGTGTGCAGATTTAAGGCTTCCTCTAAAGCCTGACGTAAAAACATAAACAAGTATCACACAAAGATCAAGTGTTTGTTATTCAGCGCCTTCTCTCTTTCTGCATCTCATTCAAACTCACTCTGTTGAGGCGCTGGATCTCCTTCTCCTGGTACTCCCTCTGTTTGCTGAGGGGCAGCAGCTGGTCCTGCAGGTAGCGGATCTTCTGCTTTAGCTCAGTGGTCTCAGAGTTCAGGCACTCCTTCTCCCCCTGGAACGTCAAACACCAGAAACATTGAAAACACTTTTCTGTCTTTCCAGGTCCTTTTAAAAAATAAATAAATAAATAAAAAAACACAAACACTAGCTCAGTTTCACTTGGATCTTGTGCCCGTCTCACCTGCACATTTTCAATCTTGGACTTGGCCAGCAGCAGCTTCTTGTCGTAGTCGCGCTGCCTCTGCTCTCTCTCTGCCTCTAGCTCAAGCACAGTTTTTTGGGACTCAGCCA